CTTCGTCCTCCGCCTGCTGCTGCTGCTGCTGCTGCTGCTGCTGCTGCTGCTGCCCCCCGTGCTCAGCGTTCATCCTCCAGCTCTGCTCCTTGCTCCTTAGCAGCCCTCACGTCCCTTGGACCCACTTTTATGAAATCAACTGCTGACAGGTGTAGCTGGGGGCTAGCACCTGGGGGAGGGGGTGGGCCTTGGCTCAACCCTTCCCACAGCTTGCTCCGGGGTAACCTTGGGAGACTGCTTCCTCCCCTCCACCAGGTGATTTCCTGCCTCTGGGTTAAGAACCTCCTGGCCAAACTCCACAGCCCACCCTCATCCCAGTGAATTTGCACACTTGTCAGAGTTTGCACAGCTCGACCTGGCTCAGGGCTGGGGAGCTGAAACAGGCTCCCTCTCCGCAGAGCCGCCGAGGAGCCGGAGGGGCAAGACTGGTTCACACTGAACAACCAGGGGAGGGGAGCGGGCTAACTGCCAACTGGGCAACAGGGGCCAGGACAGCCAAAGGCAGGTCATGGAGTACATGGGGCTGTGAAGCTGCTCCTGTGGGATCGTTCCACTGGGAGCAGGGGAAAGAGAAATGGTGAGAGTGGGGTCAATGTGTGCAGAGCAGTGAGGCCTGGCTGCAGGCAGAGGAGCTAACCGGCCAGCTCTGGCCTAACTGTGGCCAGCAGGAAGCCGTCCACGGCTGGGAAGAGTGAGACTGGACGAAGAGAAATAACGGGTGCTCTCCACAGAAGCCGATGAGGGCCTGTGGAAGTTGGGAGGAAAGTGGAAAGGCTCTGGAGAAATGAATGGCTCACTAAGCACCTGGGCACAGATGCTTCCGGTCCTAGGCTGCTGTGATCCAAGAAACCTGGATCAACGTGAGACGCGTGGGCTGGGGAGAGGATACCCTAATCAGGACCTGTCCACCTGCCAAAGCCGGCCTCGCCCGCTCATCAGACTCACCTGCCCACAGCTCCGAAGCGGGCACACGTCATTAGGGTTTAAGAGGGCCAGGAGGGCAATTCTTAATCCAAGGTGCTGCTTTCACAAGTGTCTTGTTAACTTTTTTAAGCATTCTTAAAATGGTCAAGATTGGTCTTTTTTTCTGACAATGAAGCTAACTAAACTACTTCTGATGCTTCAGGTTCTGAGGACCTGCCCCTTAGACTCAGGTGGACTCTGGGAACCCCACAGGCCTCACCAGGGGCCCTCACACCGAGGAAGCTCCCTGACCGGCAGCAGCTGTCTCACCACCCTGTGATCCCAGCAGCCTGCTCTCCACATGCCAGGCTCCCCTGAGCCCCGGCTCTGAGTCCTCAGGGGAGGCTGCTCCAGGCCTCAGGAAGGCACAGCCAGCCAAGTCGGGCGCCCCTGGAGTTGGGTGGAGCAGAGGAATCCCGTCAGCCTCAGCTGCATCAGCTCACTGAGCTTTCTCTGCCTGGAGCAGGCAGACTGCACGGCCGTGAGACCCTGCTCAGCTTTCGAGGCAGAGCACCAGCCCCTTCTGGTCAGCCGCTCGTTCCACACCACCACAGCCACGATTTAAGACCCAGGTACGCTTCTGTTCTGCTGTCTAGTGTGGTTGGCTTTCCCACCAGACTGAGCACTTAGGGAGGCTCGACACCCCCTGGGCGACTCCCCAGCCTGAGGTGCTCCAACGAGTGGAGCACGTGCTTTCCCGAACGGCGGGCTGCTGAGTTCAGGCGGAGTGGTGACCCACACGGTAAGGGCAGCCACTAGCTGCCTGGTGACCCCGAGGCTAGGAGTGCTTTATAAGCTTAAAGGAAGCACGCAGGCTCTGCAGAGCCTTGGGCTAGGAGTAAACTGGAGACACTGAAGAGGCTGCGTCACACTCCGTTTCCCAGCGGAAATGTGCTTCACAGACTTCAGTACGGAACGCAGGCTCCTAGCAGCTGCTGTCTTGCTCCCACTCCACCGGATGGAGTCAGGTCTCAATCCGGGGTCTGCACTTTTAACGAGTGTGTGGTACAGCGCGGCAAGAGCGCCTCAGCTCACACTGAAGAACATGCTCCAGGGCAGTGGGCGGCAAAGTGCAGCCCGAGACCAGTGACACCAGCATCACCTGGAAACTCGGTGGAAATACTAATATTCTTAGTCCATCCCGGACCCCCTGAACCAGACACTCAGTAGGTGAGACGAGACGCAGTGACCTGTGAGCTGGCAGGCCCTCCAGGTGACTCTGATTAAGTGTTAAAGCTTGTGTTGGCCTGGTCCCATGGCCTGATGGTGAAGGCAGTTGGATCCTGCACGGCCAGCTGCATGGTTTGCGCCTCTGGTGGGAAACATGTGCTCAAAACCCAAAGAAAAATGGAGAAGGGACTGCGGTGTGGCCACTCCCCCGGGGAGTGCTTCCTCCTCTCCTCCTGTTTCTCTCTGGCAAGTACATGCGGCCTCTAGCAAAGTGTCTGGGGACCAGCAGTTACCATAATGGCTATGTCGCTGGACTCCCATGTAGTCGACCACAGTTCGAGTCCTGGACCCGGTGGCTTAAACTCACGCCGGGCGTGTGTGCGTGCGTGCCCAAGAACCAGAGAGGAGAATGGAGGAGAAGGGATTGCGGCGTGGCCATCCCCCCTGGAGGGTGATTTCTCGCTTTCTGTCTCTCTCTCTGTCCAGCGAGCACATGTGCCCTTCAGCAAAAACCTCTTCAAAAAAAGAAAAAAAAAGTGTCTGAACCATAGGCCTAAGAAAAGGTACAATCTCAAGTCAGCCGAAGGGAAGGTTCTGCCAACACCCACGGACTGGACACTAGCCCCATCTGTCTCCACTAACTCCTTTCCCAACTCCCCAACTCAAAGTGAACACTGGCCCTGCAGGGAGGGGAAGAAGGCCCCAGAGAGCTGAGAAGAAAGGTAGGAACCATGGCTTCCTCTTTCTTTATTGGGTGCTTTGTAGATGTCACGCAGGTCTAAAAGTTACAATGTTAAATAATTATTTAAAAACTGACCAGGACTAAGACCCTGGTCCAGAGCTCCAAACCAGAAGCAAAAAGGAACAGGGGTGGTGGTCTGGGGGACATTTCTCTAACATCACCAAAACCAAAAGAACGAAGATCCTAAGCTCCTTCAGGGCCAAATCCAGGGCCTCGGCCCTTGAGTCTCAGGTACTTCTAGCTGCATTCGTCTCCCACAAGGAAATCAGCAGCGGGCTGGAAGGCAGCACCAGTGGAGTCCAGATACGGACACACATAACCAGAAGGAGGACAGGAGACGAACAGGCACTGTCCAGCTGTAGATAAGAGAATGCAGTATAGCCAAGACAGATTGAGGGGATGGGAAGAGGCTGGGGAGCAGTATTGCAGCAATGCAAGAGGGTAGCCCCAGGCTCCTGTCCTGAGCAGCTGGTCAGGGTAGCAGCTGTTAGTTCCCAGACGGAGCTCCTGACCCCAGCCCGGGCAGAGGGCTCACACGTTGTGGGTCCTCTTGGTGAGCTGGGGCTCCTCATCCACCAGCTTGGACTTGAGGTGCTCCTTATAAGCCAGGATGTCTCCAGGCCACTTAGTGATTGTCTGCTTCTCACAGACCCAAATTTCCTGTGCAACCTAGAAAGCAAAACCTAGACTCATTCCTGGCAAGTCACGCCCCCAACCCCAGTCCGGCACTGTTCTGAACAACTGCTTCTAGAACAACACCTCCAAATTCCCCACCCAGACTTACATCCGGCTCACTGCTTCACTACCTCTAAGTACTCTAGGATGATTTATCCCAAGGTTACCATAACCTGCAGGTTCCGGACCCTTCCAAGCTGAGTACAGTGTGTCACCGCTATCGCTACAGTCAGCTCCCAAGCAGAGTCTAGGCTTTCACACTCAGCTTTCTTTCTCCACCCTCACCTCCAAAACTTCAGAGGATGAACCATAGCTTTTTCTCCAGTGACTGATGCTAATAAAGCCTTCCTAAGAATACTACTTTGGTGGCCAGTAGGTGGCATGGAAGTTAAGGTGCTGGATCCCACATGGCCAGCTGTGTGCTTCAGCTCCTGGACCCACTGGCTTGAAAATCATTCCATGTGTGTGTGTGTGAATACCCAAAATCCCAAGAGGAGGGCAGAGGAGAAGGGACTGTGGCATGGCCATCCCCATCTCTGTCTCTCTAACTCTCTGGTGAGTGTACATATCCTATGCCCCACACCCTCAAATACTATTTTGGGACTGGAGCATCTTGGGATAGTAGTAAAAGTTCTTCGTCTAACTGTCCTCCCCTACTTGGACCAACACCCCCAAGTAGCTATGAAGAAATGAAGCATTTCAGTTGCGGCTTTCTGGATGACCCTAAAAAAACCATCCAACTGGTTCCTTGCCACCCCAGTCTACACTGACCTCCACGTGCCACGAGGTTCCACCTGTCCCTCTCCTAGGTATGCCTGCTGTGCTGTACACCCCGGCCAAGGCCTCACCTGCTGAATGAGTCTGAAGTCATGGCTGACTAGCATCATGCCACCCTCAAACTCATTGATGGCGTCTGCCAACGCATCGATGGTCTCAATATCCAGGTGATTGGTGGGCTCATCCAGGAAGAGCATGTGTGGGTTTTGCCAGGCCAGCCAGGCCAGACATACTCGGCACTTCTGTCCATCTGACAGGTTCCGGATTGGGCTCACCTGAGTGCAACATGACATACACACGCTTGATGCTACCTGCCCACCCCCGCCCCAACACACAGCATGACCCATCTCCTCCCGGTCTCCTCCCACCCCTAGGATACCACAGCAAGATCAGGGCAGGCCACTAGTCTCTTGAGGCCTGAGAGGGACACTTCTGGAAATCTGACATCTTTGCCATTACCAAGCCCCTACGGCCTACTCTTTTGGCGCTTACATTTTTTTTTTCTTTATTCATGATTAAGTGTACACATGTACTCATCAAAGAGTAGGAGAAATAGAGAAAGAGGAGAGCATTCCTCAGAGAGTTTGGTCCTACTATGACCCCTTTCCTTGAGCCCATTGGATTCTAGACACTCAAATACAGGCACTGAGACCTTTTTTTGGGAGAGGTTTTCACCAGAAAGACACAGAGAGACAGAAAGCGAGAAATCACCCCCTGGGGGGATGGCCACGCCACAATCCCTACTCCTCCATTCTCCTCTCGGAATCTTGGGCCCACACGCACATGGTGTGAGTTTAAGCCACCGGATCCGGGACTCGAACCGCAATCCACTACATGGGAGTCCAGTAACACAGCCATTATGCCAACTGCTGGCCCTGGCACTGAGATCTTAATGAATGGGAACAACTCAACGGACACTCAGTTCCAGACCTGAGCCCAGGACTTTGTTCCCTAGGCTGCACGTTCACTTGCTCTCAAGCACTACAGTGGAGGACATGTCAGAGACCACACAATCTTGCCTTTACCCCCACCAATAACAAGACTTAACTCGTCCCTCACTTAACAACCGAGAACAAAGGGAAGGGAGCGGGCTCTTTCAGGGGCTGGAGTCAATTGATGGAGATGTTAGGACAGCGTCCAAGACAGCGTCTCCGGACCTATCCAGCCAGTCTCTCGCTATGTAGGGCTCTTCCCATACCCTCCTCTACAGACCTGCTGCTTCCCAGTGAGACCGTATCGCCCGATGATCTTCCTCATCTCCTCCTTCTCCTTGATCTCTGGGTAGCACTTCATCATGTACTCCAAAGGCGAGAGGTCTAAGTCCAGCTGCTCTTGTAAATGCTGAGGAAAAACGGAAGTCGTAGGAATGACTGGAGTCCTGCTTCAAAAGAAGCCCCCCTGGGAATTCTTCACCTCTACCCCAGGCAGGGTTCAGGATTCCAGGAGAGGCAGGTAGGAGCTAACGGGGGTGCCA